GCTGGGACATCTGAACAAGCACTGCTCTTGTGGGACATCTTCATCTGAGCTGCAGAACATTTTACAGTTGCTTCCGTGCCCAAGGTCTGAGTTTGGCATAGTGAGAAGCCTCTCTCGGAAAAACAGTTTTCATCGTTACTAGTGTGGTGTTCATACTGCTCCTTTGATTCTATCACAGTCAGATCATGAGCTTCAAAGAGCTTTTTCTCTGGGCTATAGTCGACATAAGACGCTTCATTCACGTTTATTTTCCCTGCATTAATTTCTGATGACTTCCGGTGATTTATCAACTCATGAAGATTACTTCCAGATTCAGAAAATGCTTTCTGAACTCTCACTAGCGTCTCGGTGGCTAAGTTACTTGCATCTCCAGCAGGGGTGTTTCCAGTCACAGTGCTGTTCTGCTCACTGTGCACCCAGGGGGAGGCGAGTGCGCTGGGAGTGACGGGCCTCTTTTCAGCCACAAGATCGGGCTCCAGGGAACAGCGTTCCAGCTCCAGATGGCCTACTATTGGAGATATATCACTTGCATCTGTTTCTTGGAAACTTGAATTACTGGGTCCTGTCCAAGACATCCTGTAGTTTGCTCCATCTAGTCGCTCTGGGGTTAATAAGTTTTCTTCAGACTTACTGATCTTTTCTGAACCTAAAATAAAGCAGTTGAATACTTTTACTCGTTTATATTTAACCTCGTTCCAAATGTTACCCACACATGTGACAAGTAATGGCACCGTAAGCATTTGATTCCAATAAATTACATATCTATACCAAGAGAAATTAGTAATATGAAAGTATAAAATACTTTCTTATTTACCTCTATAAGCATCCTTGAATTGCTGGTACAAATATACTACCAATTTAAGGCTTTTTAACATTCAAACTTCTAATTTCTAGAAAAAATTAATATATTTTCCCATTAAGAAGCAACCCAAACTGGCTGTTTGCGTAAAACCCTAACAATATCACATAACCGTACCTTTCTTTTTAAGTCTTTCACCAATATCTGGGCTAAAAAGCAGGCCTGTTTTTATAGCTTCAATCCCGTTTTTTAACCTTTGTTGATTTGCAAGTCGCCTACCAACATTTTCAGACCTATTGACACCAGAACATCCATTCTGTACAGAAAAGGAAAATAGAAAGTAATGGTTAACAAATAAACCTAGCTAATTCGATATATTAAAACAAATTTTTGTAATTACCAAGATCTTCTATAGTTGTTTAACAATAAGACATGTGAAACGACTTTACAACAAACACAGATATTGCTGTTGATAACTACAAGTTGATATTTTATGATCAAGATAAAAACTCTCATATCCATTCATTGAAACAAAACAAACAATCAAACACCAAACCAATTCTGGGGCTTACTGTGTCCCAAGGCCTTTCAAAGAGTAAAACCACAGACCCAAATCATATTCTCAGGAGTTTATGTTTCAGAGGATACAAACATAAGATACATAGTCAATTATACTCCACATAGTGAGAAATGTTACGGAGAAAAGTAAGGCCGGATCAGAAGGTTATGGTGAAGGGTAAGAGTGGAGTTTTAAATTCCAGATCAGGAGGATGAAATCTAAGGAAATCGGTGACAGTGAGAGCTACTGTTATGAGGGAGGGACATTCTAGGCTGTGCAAAATGCCAGTGCAGTCCCTGAAGCCGGAACAAGGTCAGGCATGTTTGACAAACAGCAAGGAGATCAGAGGGGATGAAGCAGAGGGAGCAAGAGGTAATGTGTGCCAGAAGAGGCCAAAGCGGTGGTCTGGGGGAGCAGACCATACAGTGCTGCTAGGTCACGGCAGGTACCGTGGCTTTTATTCAGAGGAAATGGGGAGGTACTGGAGAATTCTGAGGAGTGGCATGACCTAATTTAGGTTTTGAAAGAATCATTTTGGTTGCAATACTTCAGCAATAGTAGAACTACGTAGACCTGTTAGTAGGAGCTAATGGAGTTTATTACAGTAATCTAAGAGAGATGACAGAAGTTAGAGAATGTGGAAAAAGTAGCACAAGCAAGACCTAGTCAAAATCTAGGTATATTCTAAAAATAGAAGTTAAGGCAGGATTCCCAAGGAGATTAGAAAGGAGGCAAAAAACTCCTTCCTGCCTGGTTTGGGGCCTGACTAGAAGAATGGAAGTTCTGTAACTGAGATGGGGACAGCTGCTAGAAGTATGGTGGATGGGGGCGGGGGAACAGTACAGCAAACAAGTGCTTGTGTAGCAGGAGCTCTGCAGGAAACAGACTACATTTGAGACTTCTACTGGGAAAGTCCAAATCAGCAGATGCTAAGAACGCACTCAAGTTGTTCAGGAGAAAAGTAAGGAAGACTTTAAGACTTAAGCAAATACGTAAGATGGCACATTGGGTAAATGGAGGCAGAAAAGAGAACCCAGAGAGCTTCCTTCCCAGTGCAAAAGAACCTGAGAAGTACCCAGTGCAGAAGGAAGAAAACATGGGTGTGTAGTGTCTTAAAACAAAGGGAAGAAAGTGTGCCAGATGGGCGAGGAGTCCCCTGTCAAAGGCTAATGGGCGATGAGGTGAAGTCAAGACAGTAGTGAGCAAGCAGTCCTGGTGGCACAACTCGGGAGCACTCAGCTGCTGAACATACGACTGGTGGTTTGATCATGAGTCGAACTAGACCTCATGATCTCTCTCCAAAAGATTACAGTTAGAAAACCCTATGGGGAAGTTCTATTCTGTCACCCAAGATTCCTGTATGTTAAAACTCAATTTGTTGTATCTTAACCACTTTTGACCAGTGGCTTGAACAATGCTGAGTTCCATGGTGACTTTGATGAGAACAATTTCTTCTGCTGAAAAGCTGAGTAGAATACATTTAAGCAAAGTGGCAAGGAGGAACTGGGGATATCAATGCCAGTATAAGAATTTTGCCTGTGTGATCACAAGGTGTCGATAGGACCAGGTATCAGGCATGAAAGAATCAAAAATCATATCATAATGAATGAGAGGGAGTGCAGAGACCCAAAGACCATCTGTAGGCAACTGGACATCCCCTTACAAAAGAGTAGCAGGGAGGACACGAGCCAGTCAGGGTGCAGTGTAGCAACAAGGAAACATACAACTTTCCTCCAGTTCTTTAATGCTTCCTCCCCCCATTATCATGACCCCAACTATACCTTACAAATCTGGCTAGACCACAGGATGCACACTGGTACAGATCAGAGCTGGAAACCCCTCAGGACCAATAATGAGAGTAGAGATACCAGGAGGATAAGGGAAAGGTGGGGGAGAAAGAGGAAATCGATCACAATGATCTACATATAACCACCTCCCTGGGGGACAGAAAACAGAAAAGTGGGTGAAGGGAGACATCAGTCAGTGTAAGATACGAAAAAATAATAATTTATAAATTATCAAGGATTCGGGAGGGAGGGAGGGAAAAGAGAAGCTGACACCGAGGACTCAAGTAGAAAAAAAATGTTTTCAGGATGATGATGGCAACAAATGTACAAATGTGCTTGACTGGATGGATGGATGGATGGATGGATGGGCTGTGATAAGAGTTGTAGGTACCCGCAATAAAATGATTTAAAAAAAAAAAGGAATTTTGCTATAAAGGGGAGTAGAGAATGGACCAATAGCCAGGTAAAGTTGGCCCTTTATGCATAAAGTTGATATTCTTATGCCAATATAAGCATATTATTGAAATAATCTGTTTTCAAAAATGGAATGATGAAAGGTACTTACTATATCTCTGCTACTTTTTCCCAGGCTAAATTTCAAGCGGAGAGATCTTCGAACTTTTTCTGTACGACTGACTTTAGGTGAGAAGCAGCCTGCTTTACCAGATTCTACCCTAAAACGGGCGGAATTACACGTCAGTTTAATCTTATAGCAGAGCACCAGAGAAACTGTTGACACATGAAATTTGAGGGAAAATCAACAGCAATTCATTTTGCTAATAATGGAAGAGAGAAATCATTTTCTAGAATTAGTTAAACTTTAAAATACCACATAGGAGCACACTGCACTTATAGTGAAACCTGTAAGAGCTGAAATGTGACAGGATTGCCTTTCCCCTAAGTTTGTTAGAAGGCAGCCTTAGCATTTCTACTGCCTTTTAATAAAAACAATTGAATTTTCCTTCTCTGAGGGTTCTAGCTTTCACAGGTTCTACGGTAAGCTCTATCCTGTTTATCAGGCTTATTTAGTCACCACACTACAGATTTGCTTTAACCTAATAGATAAATTTAAATTACATACAAACTAGGGATTTAAAGCAAGCAAATTAGACTCAAGTTACAAAATTTTTTCGGTGAACATAGACAAATAATTGTTTAGTTAGAAAGTAATAGGAAAAAAGTCTATGGTTTAGTATCATTCTCTCTAAGGAGATTAATAAAACATTTTATTAAACATATATATACATATATATATATATATTATCAAATGATACACATTCACATGTAACAGGGGGAAATGATGACATTACATAAAACCATTTTGGCAGAGCATGCTCATGAATATACTCTGCACATCTCCTGACATTCCCAGAAGTGAGTTTCAGCTCCAATCACCCATCCACCCACATGACTGGTAAATCCTATCTTCTGCTCATTTTTAAAATCTTCTGCTTCCGAATCCATAAGTAATCCGATAATGTTGCTTTCATCATAACTGTACCACAGATATAAGTCGTGGTCATGAAGTCATGGGTAGCTTGGTAGTCTTCTGGTAATCAAAATAAACAACTGAAACTCTGTTTCGTTTTATTGATTTAAGCTGATAATATTTATCTCACACAAAGTTTTTGTATGAACAGAAAAGAAATTGTGATCAGCAACATATAAAAAACTTGATACAGTGCACTTAGGAAAATGTTAAAATAAGTAAACAAATAAAACCTGTAACATGGGTGCTCTATGTAAACACACACACAGACTTATAAAAGATAATTCCATTTCCCACAAACTTTTTGAAGCCTCGTGTGTGTGTGTGTGTCCATCCAATGACAACAAAATGTTCCAGATAAATTACCTGACAACTTTCTTCCCTGCAATTCTCTTGCTTCTCCTTTGGACTCCTCTATGGATTTGGTTTCCATTGATGGCTACAGGAGTAGGGGAACTCTGAGTTGACCCTTCTGGGCTTGTATCAAAGTGAACTATAAGACAGATCACATGTAATTATATCACACAAACTTATTTTATTTTCAAAGTATGAACAATTAACAACAGCATTTTTTAAAAATGTAAAGCCTTCGTGTACTTTCTTTCCCCCAATCAACCACAAAATCACATCATTTGTTCAGAAGCTTCAGGGGTCATCTAACCCAACTCAATACAACACAAAATGTATTTCTCTCTTTTTAATTGCCAATAAAAAGTCAAATTAAGCATGACTTCTAAGAGTTGCCTTAAGCTCTTTTACAAGTGCAAGTGCGGGTTGGGCACTGCTGCACTCTGGAGGAAGAGCAAGCATTGAGGCCAAGCAGAGGGAAACTTGTCCTATCACACACTACATGATTGTCGTGAATATGAAGAGTAGACACAACAGCAAATACATTTTAAAGAAAAGGGGAAGACTTTTAGAAAATCCAGAGATTTGATAAACACGGGAAAAAGACAGTTTGGGCTCCTAAAGTGTGATAGTGATATAAAATACACTTTGCCCAGAATAGGCACGCAGGTCAATGTGGATAACCTAATGTTTTAAATTCTATTTGCTACCTGATACTGGTGTAGAGCTGCTGCTGAAGAGATTGCTTGGCAACAGCTCAAAGTTGAAGTTGTGCCTGATGGACTTGCGTTTCTTACTTGAGAAA